ATCTGGTGTGAGTTCTACTGCTTTTTGAAGTTGTAATATCGCGTTGTCAATATCTTCAGTGCTGCCAAATTGAAGAAATCGCCTGGCAAGTGCTTTTCCTAGATTATTTACGCATCCTGCTTTGTCGGGATGACTATCGGGTGTGAGGTTGACTGCAGCAGTGTGTCGAGATATTGCGTTGTTTATGTCTGTAGCACTCCCGAAGCGCGCAAAGCGTACCTCGAGAGAGTTGCCCAAGTGTGCCAGATACTTTGCCTTGTGAGGATGGTCATCAGGTATGAGGTCAACCGCCTTCTGATGTTGCATAATTGCATTATCGAGGTCCTTGAGGTCTCCAAAATGTTCAAATCGAACCATGAGAGAATTTCCTAGGTTGGTCAAACTCGTATGTTTTTGAGGATGACCATCTGGTAAGAGAGTTGCCACTTTCCATAATTCTGAGATCGCATCATCGATATCTTTAGGGTTTTCGAGACGCGAAAAGCGATAATGAAGCGAGTTCGCGAGATTGTTTAGATAAAGAGCCTTGTTTGGATGGCCTTCTGGTAAGAGGCGGATTGCCTTCTGGCATTGTGCGATTCCATTATCAATATCGGCAAAATTTCCAAAGCGCTCAAAACGTGTTCGGAGATGGCTGCCAATATTGTTCAAGCACATGTGCTTTTCAGGGCTGTTGTCTGGGGTAAGATTGGCCGCGGCCTGTTGCTGTGCAATCGCATTGTCGATATCCGCTTGATCTCCAAAGTGTTCGAAACGGGTCTCCAGGAAATTAGCGAGGTTACTCATGTAGCTAAGCTTGTGGGGGTCGTCATCTGGTGTGAGATCGACTGCAGCCCGCTGTTGTATGAGTGCATTATCAAGGTCTTCAGCATTCCCAAGGCGCATAAACCGGACTCCTAACGAGGTGCCAAGGTTACTCAGGCGACCAGATTTATCGGAATCTCCATCTAGTGTTAGCTCGACTGCCACTTGTTGTCGTGCAATCGCCTCGTTAATATCAGCCACATTCCCGAGGCGTTCGAAGCGGCGAAAGAGTCCCGCCGCAAGATTTGTCAAGATGGAAGGTAGCCCTGGATGATCTTGAGGGCATATTTCGGAGGCAGATTGAAGTTGCGATATCCCCTGCTCCAAACCTTCCAAATTTCCTGCAATCTCGAAATCTCGAAGCGCGGCGATTCCATTGTCATTCAAGGTTTGAAGCGTATTAGCCGTGTGCGAAGGCAATCTTCCTTGGTTTCTCTGAGACAAAATTTCTCGAATCCTCCCAATAGTCGTCGCCAGAGCTCTCGCTTTGAATGTCAAACTTGGATAGTTTTCATGGCAAATCAATGGGATCTCCAGATCTGAAGTCTATTCAGAGACGAAAATGATTATAAAAAATGAAATACATACCAAATGGCTCTTCTAACATAGCGAATAGTTCTGGCCCGTTTATCTCGATAGAGGCAATCAATTGGTGTTCGTCGTCATTAATTCCCATAGAAATAGAGACCATGAAATCATCAGGTGTTTCATATCTGGATTATTAATCTTCTAATCGTGTTATAAGACTTTGATTGCCTCAATACTTACAAAAATAGGGGTTGATCAGCATCCCATGTGCCCGGACTGGACTCGCGAGATAATAAGTTCGCCTCGTTTACAACTTCATCACCCAGTCGAATCTCTAGTAAGAGATGGACAATGTCCTTTAGAAAGGTGTCCTCTTGGGTGGCCAATTCGACGATGGCATCTAATGAACGGGAATAAAATCAGAGGTCTGCGGTTGGATTGTCCTTTGCTTCGTTACCTTTGAATATAACCGTGCTAGAGAAATGGTCAGAGTCTAAACTGTGGATTGGAGGGCGGGATTACCTCATATCAGTAGGATGCTGCAGGTAGAACTTTCGTTTCGAGGATCTGGAGACATCAAGGATCTTATGATAAATAGGCAAAGGCTTGACAGTCTCTTCCCAGTGTGGAGGGGGCAGTGCAGAGGTGAGGAAGTCGATCAGCCAGTGCCGGCCGGACGCGTTCCACTCGGCTCAAGTGCGAATCACTCCCGTCGATCGACCATTGGCCAAATAGCGGTACATCCTGAATTCTAGCTCATCGACCTGATCTTGCCTACCTCAAATCTAGGGCCCAGGGCTAGGCAATATTCATGATCCGGGATTATACACAGAATGGAATCGACTTAGGATCCACGGCACGATCCTGTATAATCAATTTAATGGCCATACATTCTGTCAATCAGCCATTCATTCTCTGATTGCCCGACTATCCCGCTTAATCACACCCTTCTCGGCTCAATTTCAACTATAAACGCATTACATCCGTACAAAAGAATTATTATTTCGATATCAAAGCAAGACGACGAGCTTTCTAGTGAGAATCTTTAGACACCGAGATGCACGAAAGGCACCCAAGCTGTAAGAGGTAGATTTTGTTTCTTACGAAGCCTCTGAATAGATATATGGAGCGCCTCTGCTGCCTTCTTACTATCTGGTCTACCCCCTTCCCGTAGAAGGTGTGCATAGAATTCATCGGCCACCTCTGGCGCGAGTTCATCTTGGATAGACCACATTGTCGCCACGACACCGCGATATCCTGCCAATAACATACCACCTGCGATATGGACGGCCTCTTCTGAGAGCTGTTCGTCTCCAGCTGTCGTCTGACATGCCGATAGAAATGCAAACTCGGCTTTAGGAAGACTGAGCTTGATAATCTCCTCCAGGGTTAAATGGCCATCATCGAGTAGAAGTGCGCTTTTCGTTGGCCTAGATGCGTTTTGAACCCCGTGACATGCAAGATGCAGCCAATTACATTCCTTCATCTCCTCAGTTACTCGTGGCCTTGTCGCTTCAGGGCCTTCCAGAACAAGGTGGTGTTTATCAGCAAAGTGTCGGCGAATATGTTCTAGTTCTAGCTCGGCATTTGGAATGTAAGTAGCGCCGGGAGGGGAAGCCTCTATGACAGAAAGAACCTTGAAAGAGGAATTTGAAGTGAATTTGGATGGTTGGAGCAGTGCAGACAAGGTGGGCGTATAGGAGGATATGGCATATGAAGAGAGTTGCGCATCATCGGTATGCGAATCATATATTCCAGCCGCATGGATAGGGAGAAATGTGAGTGATCCAGTCGTGCACCACCAAATCCGCGGAGGAGTATCTGGATCAGGCTGGATAGACAGGATTAATGAAATAGAATAGTCGACTTAGATGGAACTCACCGAGAATGCCAGAGCATCTAACACAGGCTTTACAAGATTTTCCCAGAGCTCAGCTAGAATCCATTTGCATTCGTCTCCTTCGCTTTCGTCGGATACTTTCTTCGCCGCCCTTTCACCTCTCATCCGTATTCCGTTCGAGACCAAGAGTTCTCTGAGCCCGTCTCTAAGCTCTAATACTCTTTTTGATGTTATATTTGATAACGGGATGTGAATTGTCTCGTCAAGCCCGGGGAGGAGAGCAAGTGCATCACATCTCTTTTGTGCTATATTCAAGACAACGACCGGTCCATTCTGGGCAGCATCCAAAAGTCTTGATATTCTTGGAGGTCGCAAGAAGTCTTCGAAATGAGGGATCTCTCGGACCTTCTTGATTATCGTCTCCCATTCCGTCGTCAACGCTCGATGTTTTCGTCCATCTTCCACTGATGATTGGCTACCCCTATCAGAGAATCCACTCTGATCGGTCCCATGGTCGACGAGTTGAGCAACGTGCAGAAGTCGCTCGGCTAGCTCTGGGTCAACTTCACGCAACTGGTCGACGGGGTTCCGAAGCTGAAGAATTTGGTTCCATACAATTGATCTTCCTTGCTCTAGCCATTCCAGTGCTTTATCGTACTGTTCAGCGGCAATGGCAGCGGCAGCGGCTTCTCGAGCAACCCCGCCGATATTAATGAGATGCTGGTGACGGTCCGCCATAGGGAGCCCCAGCCACGCCACGACTGGTACCAATTCAAGTGCGGCTTCATGAGCTGCTAATAAGGAGTCATGATTAATGGTAGACGCCATACGAATCCATTCTCGGGCAGATCCGTAGCGATTTGATGGGGGGCCGACTGGAGATCTTGCAGCCTCAGAAATGGTGCGTATAGCGGCCTCGGCATCCTCAACTTTATGGAGATGTTCGAAGCGGGCCCAAAGGGACATTCCAAG